GCTCCGAAGGAGCTGTATTGAAGGAGGAGAAAAGGAAGCCATCTCCTGAAGGGGACAGCCCCGCCTAGCAGCTACAGCCTGGAGCTCATGGTCATCTCTCTCAGACAAGCAGTGGGCTGCGCTATCAGCTTCTTATCCCTTTGAAAGCCTTGCATCGGCAAAGCCATAGCGATGTCTACTTCAAAGTCACAGTGGGAGCAGACTGGGAGTGCTGTCCCAGGATGCAGTTTCTGGTCGCCTTGCCTTTGTGTCCTTTCTTTACTGTCACTTACCGATGAAACAAGCAAGGACGAGCCAGATGCAGATGGGTGCGAGGCAGCTCTGTCTCAGTGTTTTTCACAATCTGTGGAAGTGTTAACCCAAATGCTTCTCACAGCGGCTTGTAAGTACATGTCTGCTTGGCATGTAACTTACAGCTCAGTAACAAATCTCCTGTGAGAATTCCCTGCAGCTCCAACTGTCATTCCCAATAGTTTGCCAATGGGTGAAGCTTGGAAAGGCAAGTTCAAAATGGGAGGAAACACAAGTGTGACATTAAATACTGCTTACGTAGGATTTTCTTTTTTAACTCTGAAGGGTCTAGCGGATCTTAGGTGAAAAGGATGTTCTTTTCAAAGTATCACCATAAGGAAGGCTCTTCCATCAATAGAATCAATAAAATCATGTCTAATAATTATCCCTCTAAGTTCTGAAAGCACATTAAAAGAAGAATAACAACATTCCACTTTGGCTACAAAGTGCTAATTAATAACTAACTTCAATTCTCCCAGAGGTAAAATATTAACATTATTTTTAAATAAAATTAGGCATCCCAATCTTCTTCTAATTATTATAAATATATTTAGCAGCAATATCTGTTTAATTATTTAGGCATCTCTTAATGGTGTAAATAGTATCAGCACAATCATAAATATTTTCTGCTTTGTCCATAGACAATCAGCTAAGGATCTATTGCTTGTAGGACTTAAATTAAGATCTATTTAAGGCTGCCTGCTGGCCACAAAATAATTACTTACACTTGCTAATGCCTTTTTCTGTCAGATTCAGCAGCAAGAAGCGTTCTTTGCTTTCACAAGTAGGGAGAGGTTATTTTTCTTAATATGAATTTTATTGTTGATGGTATTAGAGAGGATTAGGATGTGGTAGAAGTAGTTGAAATTTTAATTAATCTAATCCCTTTAAGAGCAATTGTTTTCATACTGATAATTCTCTTTAACAACAGTACTACAGATCACACCCACGTGTAATCTCCCCTCCAGAGTTTCTAGAATGGTAAGATTTTCAGCTTCTTTGGCTTTCTTTGTCTTTCTCACCTTACATGCAGGGTTTCTTCTCAGTGGACCAGAAAGAATTTTTTTTTCTCTGCTAATTTTCTCTCAATGTCATTATCTCCAGTAAGTTATATGGCCATCAAATCATGAATCTCCTAAAAGAGCATGGATGCTATGAAACAAGAACAGTTCAAGTTTTGTTTGTTTGTTTGTTTGTTTGGTTTGTGTCTACAATCATTTGCTATAGATTCTCATTTGAAAAGATTTGTTTATCCATCAATTTCAATAAATGGTTATGCTGCTGAAATTATCACTAGGAGTAGAGTCAGATGAAGGATGAAACTACCATTTTGGTCAACCTCTGATTATCTCCTGTGTAAATTGGGAATTGTTCTTAATCTGCTCAAATGTCATGTTATCAAGGAGAGACTTTCTCTGACCTCTCAATATAAAATTACAGTCAGTATCCTGTCTCCAATACCATTCTCCCCTTTAATTGGCTTTATTTTTCTATATAGAAGTTAACATTATGTGAGATTATAAGTCATTATATATCTGTTTCTTTAGTACATCTTCCCTAACTAAGATGGAGGCTCTGCTAAAAGCAAGGACTTGGATTTGTTTACTGTTGTATCTTGAGAGCCAAGACAAGTGCCTTAAATATAGTAATATAGTAGGCAATCAATAAACAATTATCAAATACATGAAGCTTTTCTCTCATTTTTCAGGTGCCTAAAGCACCAGATCGGTGCAAAGAAATGAAATTTTCCCCTTTTCCTGGCATGCATTTTGATGGCTGACAATTTTTTAAGTGTAAGCATTTGTTGTGGGCTGGCTGTCCTCTCAGCCCAAGTGGAAGGGTAGCCACTGGAACAAAAGCAGAGATTGAGTGCTGAATGTGGCCATGTCTTCATTAAAGGACTAAAACTATGGGTTGTGCCCTGCTGTTCGGCACTCACATGTTTACAATTCTTAGAGTCACACAAAGCAGGGGATCTAGAAGGATGCTCTCCAGGACTCTACTTGTATGGTAAATAAACAGGGGTTACTAAAGCAAAAAGGGGTTCAGTGGTCAAATAAGTTTCTGAAACTAGGTAGTACATGAAGCTAAGGTGGGCTGTTAATTCAATGCATCTCAGATGTGAGATGAGGCTCATTAGAGCTCTCCAAGGCAAGAAGGCCTTGGACTGTGTTTTCCAAACTCATCTGGTCTTGGGTCCTTCCTTTCTACCCACTCTTGTTGCTAAGACTGGGCTGCATCATAGGGAACTCCATAGACTTGGGAGTTGAATGGGCCAGGTCAGGTGCCAGAGAAGCAGGTTCTGACTCCGCCTCTTACTCACTCTGTTATCTGACCTTGGGCAAGCTACTTAACACCCACCCCTCTATGCCTCACTTCCTCTCTGTAAGGAAGGGATGAAAAGGATTGCCCAGGATAGTTTATGTAAAGGAACTGACCTGTAAGTGCTAAATAAATGCTGGTTATTGTCAACACCTTTGATCACATATAGGAATGAATGCTTTGAAAATAGATATCTTCAAGCATATTTTCTAAGACAGGTTTGCTAGCATCGACCCATACCCAGAATCAGCCGACTGTGCCTCCTTCTTTGTCTCAGCACCCTGTCCCTGTCTGAGAAGCTCTGTGTATTTATGTAGGAGTCAAAGAAATGCTGTCTTTCAACAAGACTTAATACAAATGTCTGACAACTCACTTTGGAGTATCCCACAGAGTTGATTTCTTGTATTTCCATACCCTTGACCTCATACGAAGACACTTTTGTCAGGAGAAAGGTGGTAGCATCTAAGCTAATGATTGTGCAGATGGCTACATGCTGACAGATTTTGAAGTGACCATATTTTCTTTCAGTAAATCTCAAATGAAGGTGTGATTTGTGTAAATCTGACCCTTTCCAGTAAAATGTGCATTTCCATGTATTTAGAATTTATAAACCCTGACAGATTCCACAATATTTATAGCCCTCCGTAAAAAGCCTTTGCCAGTTTGCAGAGCTATGCATTTGGCTCTCTGGTATGCTTAAGAAAGTTTAAATAATAATAAATTTGGTGATTTATTCCACCTGGAACAGAAACTTATTTCCCCCCCTTTGGCTTATTTTGAAGGGGATACTATAAATAGTGCCACAGACGCTGGGATCAGGAACAGGGAATTGAAATTCGAGACAGAAGTGCAGAAACATTTTCATTATCACTGATGCCTTGGATATATATTTAAAACAGTTTGTTCCTCAGATAATGTACCTTCTCTCCTTTCTCCTGCCCCATCTCAGTTACCCTGAGTCCCCCAAACCTATTGCCAGTTTTAGGATTCAGCTGCATTAACGGGAAAGAGAGAGCAGAAGCAGTAGCTGACTAGGTAGGAGAAAGCCCCCTCTAGGGAGGCCGAAGCCGTTCTCCAGTGTTCGTCTCACATTTCACAGGAGTCAGTCAGTAACTGAGCGTCGATGTCTGAAGTGTAAATTCATTGTTTGAGACCCAGCTCATGCATCCTGCAGGTATGATGGAAAGCTCTCAGTTCATGAAAAAGGAAACAAAACAAAACAAAACAAAAAAAACATCCAACCGCAATTACAGGAGAAAAGCTCAAGGACAGTGTCAGAGGATCGATTCTTTCGCCCCCCGTGCCTCTAAGTCCCCAGTGCAGGATGACAGACAAATGCCCGAATAGCTGACTCCCAGTGGTGCCATTTATTTTCTTAAACACAAACTAAACCGAGTTGAGGAGCTGATTATTTTGCCGTGGAGGCAGTCTGCAGATGAAACCGGAGAGTGCCATTTAGTTTCGCAGAAGCCGTGTTGTGATTTGATGTGACAAGGAGACACGTCCACCTTCTTGTCTAAGTGGAATGTGAAGGAATTAGCCTTTTGTGAGAGGGAAAGTAGTAATAATGACAGCCAATACCGAGGGAGAGCCGACCGAGGTCCGGCCCAGAGTAACACAGCCAGTGGCCGCGGCTCCCTGCAAAACCCTTCTGATGGCCTTTCCTGTCCTGATGAGCTGGAGCACACCCCGCGCGAGTCCTTCCTAAGCAGTCCCCTTGCCTCCAGCTAATGGGATGGCAGATGTTTGGACCGAGCCCCAGGGCCTGCAGGGTACCACATTTTAATGATTTGTGGTGAACAAAGTAAATGCTTTACAAGCAGGCCTTATGAAGCAGGGACGCAGTTAAGCATGATGGATTTGAGGTGAAGCAAAAAGAGGCTGAATGTTGTATGGGAGCACTGTTTCCCAAACAGGACACAGGTATCCACGGTTCACTGCTAATTCTAAAGCTTTGCCTGAAAAATGGCTTTTTGAAATACTGTGCTCTTGAGGAACGTCCTTGAGGCATGGAGGAATTTCCTTGCTTCTCTATAGCATCTTTCTAAGAGGACGCGGAGGGATTGAGCTGTTAGACAGTTGCTCGGTGTCTCTGTGCTTCTGGGATCACATTATGGGTCTAACACATATGGGATAAATAAACTGTTTTCATTTCTTAAAGACCAAGGAAGGAAACTAGACAAGAAAATTACCATATTGCCTCTTTTTTTAAAAAAATTTTTTAAGCTATTAAAGAGGAGAATCCAGTTAGGGCAAATAAAAATGATAACTGCAAACAGGGTTTTGTTTTTTTTTTCTCTCCTAGCCTCCTACTCAGCAACAGCAATATGGCAAGACCTGTGTCAAACCGGTGTTTTGATGCACCCTCTTCTGTTCTTCTTCCATAGGGCAACCCCTACATGTGCAATAATGAGTGTGATGCAAGTACCCCAGAGCTGGCACATCCACCTGAGCTGATGTTTGATTTTGAAGGAAGACATCCCTCCACATTTTGGCAGTCTGCTACTTGGAAGGAGTACCCCAAGCCTCTCCAGGTTAACATCACTCTGTCTTGGAGCAAAACTATTGAGCTTACAGACAACATAGTTATTACCTTTGAATCGGGGCGTCCAGACCAAATGATCCTGGAGAAATCTCTTGACTATGGACGCACATGGCAGCCCTATCAGTATTATGCCACAGACTGCTTAGATGCTTTTCACATGGATCCTAAATCTGTGAAGGATTTATCACAGCATACGGTCTTAGAAATCATTTGCACCGAAGAGTACTCCACGGGGTATATGACAAATAGCAAAATAATCCACTTTGAGATCAAAGACAGGTTTGCATTTTTTGCGGGACCTTGGCTACGCAATATGGCTTCCCTCTACGGACAGCTGGATACAACCAAGAAACTCAGAGACTTCTTTACAGTCACAGACCTGAGGATAAGGCTTTTGAGACCAGCGGTCGGGGAAATATTTGTAGATGAGCTACACCTGGCACGCTACTTTTACGCGATCTCAGACATAAAGGTGCATGGAAGGTAAGAAAACAACTGTCTGGCTTGAATGAGGATGGGTGTGTTCAAAGAAAAGGCCAGTGTGTTGGTCCCATAGCTGTAGAGTGACATCTGTCACTTTCTCCTGCACTCTTTTTCTCAGGAACGCCAGGCTAGAGGTCAGTCCTGAGGCATTTGAGACCCTTCTAACTCATCAGTAATTTGTGATCCCAGACTTGCTGTCACTGAACCTGGCCTGGCAGGATTTCTTGGATTTAAACCAAAGCAAAAAACCCCAAAAACAACAACAACAACAAAAAACATCTTAGTGTCTTACTTGAGACCAAGGAACTCCCTTGGCTGGGGAGTGGTTTAAGTCTTTAAGACAGTGAAGCCAGGGGAGACAAAGTAAGCTGCTCTATAAAATGGACTGAAACACAAGAAATACATCTTACTGTTGTTTTTGGATGCAAGAGAGAGTTTCAGTATGATGTGTTTATGTTTTGTTATGTTGCACAAAAAAGTTCTGTAAATGAAAGTTGTATTTCTTTACATTTATTAAATCAGAACCAAAAGCATTTAGGAAACACAATGCACTTATTAAATAGGGGTAAACTCTACTTTTCAGGTTTTTGACTATTATTGTCTTAAAAGGATATGCTGTCATTTGAAATATGAACCTGAGTCGGGCTGCCTTCATTTTGTGGTTCAATTACACATGGACGAGAGTTTAAACACATTAATGGTCACAGTCAGGCATATCTTTGTTTTGACAATACACCAGAGACACAATTGAGCAAGTTTCCAAGGATTTTGAAGATGTTTAAAGAAAAAGATGAATAATGAGAAGCAGGACCACCAACAGAGAGATTTTCACACCAGATTTTTAGGTGTGGCATGCTATCAGAATAGCCAGCTGGTGGGAGTTGAAGCGTGAGATAATGAGCTGGGAAAACTAAAGGTAAGAGTGGATTATAGGGCACAATGGAAGAACAAAGGACAGCAAGGCAACAGTCATGCTAAATAGTGCCAGGAGAGCTAAGTCGAAATACACGAGGATAAGAATATAAACAGCGCATACATCACGTAGGTTTAATTAATTGTAAAAGCTAAACAGATAAGGCAGGATTCATTAAGCTTACTGGCTTCTGGCAACCCTTAGGGTAACCTAGTCCTCAGAGGCTGGAGGAGTGTTGAGACTCCCTGGGCTTTCGGAGAGTTCTCTCAAACCCTTCTTTAATAATACTGCTGTTGCATCTGTGCACTAGAAGGAAGAAGCGGTCCCTGCTGTTCAGTAACGGCCACAGAGGACACCTGGAGTGCTGGGAATGACCTCAGTGTGGTGGTACGCGCTTCGGAATTTTACCTTATTGAACTCGTACGTGGGGAGAATATGGCCACCTATTCTCAGCTCTGTTCTAGCTTCATGTTTCTCATGGAACAGTCAAGAGTCTTTAGCTGTGAAGCTTCTTTAAAAACTTTTAACCATGGTTTGACAATGTTTGATGAGGATATCTTGAAAGCAAAATCATATTTCTGAGAGAAATAAGCACTGGTACGATATTAAGCTTGTGGGTTCGAGGGTTTGTGTGTTAGCAGGGTGTGGCGAGCAGGTGATATGGAGCTATGACCTTAAATATGAGTTTGCCATTTACAGTAAAATGCAGCCATTATACTCATGAATATTTTAGCAACAGAAGATCAGTTTCCAGTATCTTATTCTTGGGAACATACAATATATAGGAACAGTTGACGCTGGTATTATT